GTTATATTAAAATAAGTTTATATGAAATACAATTATGTCAATTAAATGTTATATTAAAAATGATGTTATGAAATATTACACACCCGTTGCGTGTATTCTTGTCAAAGAGTTCGTCCAGGGAAGTATTGCCACCTTACTTATTTCTGCTGTTAAGCAGTAATATGAGCACTATAGTCTTTCCGTTTTGAAGAAAAATTATAGGTAAATGGGACTTATCAACGTATGTCTCAGGGTGATCAACTGATAGACAGGTGTGTCGTTTATCACCGGGCATACGACTTATCTGTCTGGTATCACAAAAAAAAGCTCCAAGGGCACTATAACTTAGGAAATTTGGTTTTACAGGGTATCAAAGCTCGAGCTTCTTTGGTGTAATGCTGCCGATATTAATATAATCTGTGTGTCTTGCAAAAACGTTTCGTCAATTTAGAATCTGGGCTCCAGAGTGTCTACAAGCAAGAAATTTAAAAAAACCATTCTTTCACGTCGCAATGCATTCACGAAAATGTAATTTATGTTAAGAATATTTTTTTATATATTAATAATAGCGGTAAATATAGTGAGGAATAAAAATAAACGCGCTGTTGATTGTCGTCTTCACAAAGTCCCAAATAAATTTAAAAGGCAATATAATCTCTAAGATTCCGGTTTATATTTAAAATTTACCATTGACTAGGCTTAAAACTATAGTGAAACAAAAATTATACACTTAGCTTATTTATTGTACAGCTTCTGTGTACGTCAAAAATCCATGGTTGTAAACCGTTTAGCTCTTGCGGTTTGTGTCGATCTGTCATATTTGAAATAAATGTTGTAAATGATAAATGTCTACAAATGTTTCTTACTCATTCTTCTAAAGCGTAATCTACTTTACAAATAAGTAGTAGAGTTTAATAGATGTGATGATAGATTATTAATTTAAAAAGTAATTGAATATCAATTCAATAAAAATTTATTAAATCAGTGAATAGCGACATATCTAGCTAGGGCTGTTAGCTGCAAAGATATCTAACTGGATGACAAAATACTTTCATAGATTTCTCATAGATGGCGCTACGGCTAAAAAGTCATTGAAAAACCAAATACAAAGACACGACAAGAAGCACATAGAAAAATTCATGAGGTCCGCTGGTTCGTTCCGTGGCTTAGTTGGTATAGGGTTCGGCACGGTATGCTAGAAAACATCTGTCTGATCGAACTTCGATCCGGCCGAATCGAAGGAATTTTTTGTGAGTGTTCGATTTTTATATTAATAATTATAATAATGTGATGATATCCAATAAATGCAATTTTCTTACTAATTTGAGTTTGGGCAAAATGTACGAGAAATCAGATTTTTTGTGGCTATTTGATGGGAAACCCCATAGTTAAAGTTATTCGTTTTAAGTCTCTCAAATACCATGCAATGAAAACTGTAATCCTGTATATACATACACACGTATGTTCGTAAGATAAGTACTGTACCTGTAATTGTACTAATGGTAGAGACCGACAAATGAATGGAGAAATCTTGTATAAATTTTTAATCAGTTCAATATTGATTGGTGGACATTTTTTAAACTCCTGCGCCGGCAAGGTTTCGCGATATTTTAATGTTACGATTATAATGATAAAGCTACTACTTGAAGTCTGTTATTGGAAAGATTAATGTTTATAAGTTTATAATAAAACGTTCAAAGTCAGTATTTCCTGATTAGAGCGCTTTTTTGCTTATCTAGTTCTTGGTTACGCTTGGAACACCCTTTAGTTCTGTAGCAGTGAATGCAGGAAGTGTCATGCTTTAATTTGCAAGACGTCATGAAACCGGAAAACGTTATTTCTATGCATAGAGGGAAACTGGTTCTTACACTTATGTGAAAGTTGAATTAATACAGAGAAAAAGAAAGACAAATAACGAAATAGCAATAAGAGAACGTTACGGCTTGGAAAAAGATGTAGTGACAAAGTTAATAGATATTTTAGTTTGGAAATGTGGAGATATAGGCAATGAAAAATCCCATGGTCACGGGTGACTGTGACTATAAAGTAAAGTAAAGGGCCCGAAACTTTGGTGTATTTGCAAAAACAAATATACGAGATTTAGATCCGAAAAATAGTTTCATTTCCTATGTGTAACAATCGCAAAAATTTAAGAACTCGAAATGTGGAAATAATGAACGAAAAAATAATTATTGGGCTGTGAGCGGGCAAGTAGGTAAGAGGCAACGAAGAAGAACTTACCACGTCCAAACAAAGACGTCGTAAAGAAAGACCAGGTCAAGAGTACCTTTAACTGACGAACGTGCTTAAAAGCATCGGTGGGTATAGATGAAGTCAATGTCAAAGTCAAACAATCCTTGTTTCATTGGTAAGCAAATTACATTACAAGGGACCACCTTGAGCTACTTGGTCTGGACTTATCATCCAACCTCAACTTAGGGCGATACGTCGAGTGGTTGGCAAAAACTGCTACCAGAAAAGTAGGCATGCTTTATAAGGTCTGCCGGTACTTCACACCTGAACAGCTTTTAAATCTGTATAAAGCACAAGTTCGATCGTGTACGGAGTACTGCTACCACCTTTGGGACGGCTCTGCCCAATACCAGTTAGCTGCCTTGAACTCGGTGGAGTGAAAAACAAAGAGACGTATTAACAACAATTATCTTGTGAAGTCGAAGCTACAAAATCTCGACACTTCGACTCTCGAAAGTAGCCTGCTTGTCGGTTTTCTATCGGATACATTTCGGGGATTGTGCGCAGGAACTTTTCAATTTAGTTAGTATATATATATATATATTATTTAAATTCGCTCATTTCTAAGGCGATTCTTCTCAGAGGAATGAGCAAAAAACTCTAGAGGTTGCTTTTTATGCACATTTAACATTTACAATATTTATTTCAAACATCATAGATCGAGACTACTTGCAAGAGCTAAACGGGTCACTAGCACGCGTCATCCAAGTACGCAGAAACCAACATTTACTATAAAGTGTTTGTTTCACTGTAGTTTTAAACCTCGTAAATGTATATATTTTATTACAAATTTATATATTGCCCCTTAAAATGGATTCGTGACTTTGACGAAGCAAAAGATGCGTGTCAGAATCGTAACAATTAGGAGATTGTGGTATCTAGCTACCTTGATAGGTACTATATATGTATATATATATTAATTTCACCGTGGTATATGCTAATTGTAGTTTTATGAGTGTCGCAAAAGCGGCTCAAATATAATCCAAGATAGGCAACAGTATGTAACTAACTATGTATTAGATTACTAGTAAAAGTGGTCATGAACTCGCCTGCCAAACTTTGCAATCATATTCTTATTTTGAGAAGGGATTTGAACTTAGAAGTGGGTTATAATGTCGTCAATAAGAGAAATTTGACATTTAACAGAATTCTCACTAATTCTGCTTAGAGATCAACAATTAAAAGCAGACCTCCATCATTTTGAAAGCAAATAAAGGAAACAATTTTTAAAAAGTGGAATTCTGGAAAGTATTCCTTTTATATTTTCTTGTTTTGGATACTTATTGTTTTGCTCAAGTTTGTTCGTTTTTTAGTCGGCTCTGGGCACGGCTGCTCATTTGACCGGATTAACAATAAAAACGAAATTTGATCATTGTAAGCGAGTCGGTCAGAATTTGTTAAGGGTAAGCTATTGTGGATCAAGTTCTTTGCTACTTTATTTCCATGTGTCACATCGTCTTTGCCTTTGACCTCTCTATCTTTTTTTTACTTTTGCCTTATTTTATTTTATTACCCGTATTTGTTTTCTCTTTTTGTCTTATAAAAACTTGATTTATCTAAAAAACCACTATATGAGTAATATAATAAAAATCCCAAATTAAGTAGTCCTTTCAGTAGGAAATTAAACGGTTTATTGTATTGTATTTATTTGTACCTTCTTGTACACAACAGCATTTTTTAAATCAAATTTATTCCATGTAAAATAAGAATTTTTATTGTATAACGTGATATTAAGTACTTTAGTTGACTTAGGTTTTGAGCTCGAGTAATTTTGAAACTTTAATTAAACAAAAACTGACTAACAATTATCGTAATCGTTAGTTTCTAGAGTGTGCCTATAAAACGTGAAACTTTTGCTATTTAGTTCCACCATTAACGGTTCGATTTTTTTTTAGAGTACTAAGTGACGGGATGAACAAATCGTGTGCCTGATGGCAAGCGATACGTCTGTCCATAACATTTGCAGTGCCACTCAACTTTAAATCACAAAGATCTGATGGGCACTACCACTGCGCCCGCCACCCTGAGACATAAGTTGACAATTCCTATGTGCCTCTAATTTCACTAGCACCCTATCCTTCAAAACCGGAACGCTGTAATTCTCACTTTACTGTTTGGCGGCAGAATTGGGTATGGTGGCAGTATTTCCATGGATGAACTCTTTCACGAGCTCTATTGCTACTAAAACTACTGAACAGTTGCAGCGCCACTCAGAGCTTTAAATTGCAAAGATCTGCGGGGCACTGCCACTGCGCCCGTCACCCTGAGACGTAAATTGATGTAAATTCTTTCCATTACTAAGTATCATAAAAAATAAGTCTCCTATCAAAACATAAAAAAGTTACAGCTTAATTTTGTTCGCAGAATACTTAAAACTTATCTTCTGAAAAGTTGTAATTTTGCTGATGTGACATTATTATACCAAGGATGCCATATTACGGTCAAGCGTAAATCCATTTCTCTTAAAAATAAAATTGTCATAAAGTTTGATTAAATATAATCCCACCTCCTAACGCCCAAAGTCCTCTTTAAAGTACTTCAGCTCGTTAGTGGTTAAAGCCCAGCATAACAATCGATTTCATCGGCTAGACGCCCGGGGTCCTATTAAAAGGCCTTTAATTTCAATAGCTTATAGATTTTCAAATATCGCGGGGAAGTGCAAGCTATTGTATCCAAACGAAACTTTCAAGATTGTAGTTATCTGTGGACAACAGTAGTGCCAACCAAATTTGAATGAATCTGTCATTTTTGTCTTAACCTCAGAAAAGATGGCAAGACGGAGTGGACGTGGTAAGTAAATCTATTTGTTTCTTTGAAATCTTTACTTTTCTGATTATAATTTTTAACTGAAAATGATGCTAAAAAGGTAAATTTCGGTTTAACATAAAGATTTTATAACGAAACAGAGAAATTTCAGTGAAATTATTCTTTTAATTAAGAAGACCTTTTGAAAGGTGTGCGGGTTCTTACATCTTATTAGATTTTAAAAAGCTTATGGGACGCTATAACAATAAAAAAAAACATAATTTCCAGGATAGTTTTCTTTACGTCCAAAACATATTGTTACAAGACACTTTTACTGTTAGCTTGTTTCTTTGATTCGAATCAATGTTCTATTATTCTATTTCATTCAAAGTTCATGTTTAAGTAAGTACCACCTATCTAAATCACGTTAGTTGTTTCTCCGAACTTTTAAGTTTTTGCAAACGAGGGTAGTACGTAGTTATCAGATGTTCATAGCTTTTTTATTTGTACCAGGTTGTAATCCGCTAAATGAGGAAGAGATTGAATATATTCTAAATGAATCTGAAATTGAACAGCAAGATTCGTCTGAAGGAGGCGATGACATAGCGGACAATGATTTTAATTTAAACCGGGAGATAACCAGTTCATCCAGTTCTTCGGATAATGAAAGTGGCCAGTCAGTTACGCCTATTACACAAACGAGAGCTCGTGGACAAGGACAAAAGAGAGGAACAAGGTCACGAGCGCGACGTTTCCGTGGTAGTCGTGTCGGTCGTGAGTTTCTCGAGGGAGACGATGGATGGGAAGAGTGTGAATTTCAATCACCAGACGTGTTCCTAAGTCAGCCATCATATCTGCCGATTGACCGAAGTTCTTTTAGTGAAGTTGACTATTTTCGGCAATATATTGATGACTCCGTCATAGAAAACATCGTCGAAAAGTCTAATTGGAGTTATTTCGCCCGGTACACGAAGTCGTTAAACCTAACATTCGAAGAATGCAATACATACATTGCAATTTCAATGATCATGTCTTGCATTAACTACCCTAGTCTGAGGATGTATTGGGCAAAAGAATTCAGACTCCCTATAATAGCTAATATTATGCCAAGAAACAGATTTCTTTTACTCAGAACCGCTTTGAAGGTAGTTTTAGATGAAGATGTGGGTCCTGACGAAAGGCAATCGGATAAGTTATGGAAAGTGAGACCATTAATTACAGCTGTATTAAAAGGATGTAAATTACAAGAGAAAACCCAAGATCTGTCTGTCGATGAAATGATGATTCCCTTTCAAGGGACATGTGGGGTCAAACAATATTGTCCTGGAAAGCCCAATCCAGTGGGCTTAAAAGCATTTGTACTTGCGACGCCGCAGGGGTTGGTTTGTGACTTCCATATCTACCAAGGGAGTACTACGTACCCTGATTTCCACGGCACAGATTTCGGATTAGCCGAAAAAGCTGTATTGTCTCTGACACGGGATCTGATACCTGGGCATATAATTTATTGCGACCGTTACTTTACGTCACAGAAACTCGTTTTAGCACTTCAAGACAAGGGACTAAAGTGTACAGGCACAGTCATGAAAAATCGTATACCTCGATCCGCGCGAAGTGTTTTGACTGACGACAAAGCTATGAAGAAGAAACCTAGAGGATCTTGGCACATTGCAGTGAATAAAGCAAAGAAACTTGTTTTGACTAAATGGCTCGATAGTAAGCCCATAACATTTCTGTCTAATATTCACACTGATCAGAATGTGGATGAATGTCAACGCTGGTCAAAATCACAAAGAAAATACATTTCTGTGCCAAGACCTGAAGTGGTCAAACTTTACAACAGAAACATGGGGGGCGTAGACGTCGCTGATAGAATGTTGTCATACTGCCCCTACCGATACAGAACGAAAAAGTGGACACAAAGAGTTATTTCTCATTTCATTGATTTGGCAGTTAGTAATTCATGGATATTATATCGTCACGACAAAAAACAAGAAGGCGTAGATCTGAAATCAATTAAGCAGCTGCGGTTTTTCAAATTGGATGTTGCCAAAAGAATTATTGATGCTAATATTGACACAGGAGATGAAAATTCATTAAATGAAGAATCGCAGCAAGAAAACGAAGAACAATTGCAAGACGATAGTCAAGTGCAACGCCCACGTTTTAGAAAAAGAAACGCACCTGTGCCCCTTCCTTCCGAAAGAGAACGTTATCGAGGAGCTTTACATTTGCCCGAGGTAAGTGACATCCAAAAGAAGTGTCGGTTTGCTGGATGTCAAAAGAAGACTAAGATGATGTGCACGTCCTGCAAAATTCATTTGTGCCTCACTAACGAAAGAAACTGTTATAAAATATTTCACACTCCATGAAGAGTTTTCGACTTCATCTTTTTCTATTTCCCATTGTTATGGTTGTGATTGTTTCCTAAGAATACTTATGTTTCTAACTTTAATTAGTTTTGTTATTTTGAAGAATTATTTAGTTTATGGTATTTTAAAGTATTGAAAAGATTTTAATTTTGATCTCTTTTGTCGTAAAAAAAGCTGATTAATATTTTATACGACTGTGAATGATGTTAAATAAGTTGTAATAGTCTTGTTATTTTATAATTTTTTTTAGTTTATTATTGAGTAACTAAGTGGTAACTATAATTATCGCCAAGCTGCCTTATTTTTGATCTCTTTTTAATTTTTTTGAGACTGATATTTTAAGTGATTGAAGTTCAGTATGAATAGTTCAGATTTTATTAATCGTTTTGATAGGTAGCCTAAGATTTGGTATTGTTTTGTAGAGGGTTACAAATTAAATTTTAATTTTTAAATTCAATTTTACATTTGTTTTTAATAAAACAATATATCATTTAATCCAATATTGAAAACCACAAATTAACAATTAAACACTATTGTCAATGCAGTTGTTGTTTATTGTTTTAAAAGGCCTGTGAGCTTTTATCACTTTTTTAGGTATTGTGGAAAAAGAAAGAACATATTATTTTTACTACTTGATATATCCAAGTCCTTTTAAGTTAATTTTATAATGTAACTGTTGAACTGTGAACCCAGAAAATTGGGCATCTTATACTTAAATTATTCCAAAAAATATTCACTATTATTGGTTGAACAGCTCTTGTATAAATAAGGTTATAGTGACAAAATTTGAAGCATGTGTTTTTATTAAATATTATTAAATAATGTTCTTTCAGTTCATAAAAACGAATCTTTTCGCCTAACTTTTACTTCAAAATCTTTGTAAATACCCATTTTATAAAAATCTTAATTAGTCGGGATTACAACCCGGAGGCCTTTACGAAGGATGTTTAGTTTCAGCTGTTTTCCTAGATGAACGTCTTCTTTACATGTCCCTTAGTACCTTGAAAAAATTCTACGTTTGTACATTAACGGTAAAGCATATTTTCGAATGTCAGAAGTTCTGGGTCTGTACCATGTGAACTTATAAAAAGTACTTTGGGCGTCAAGCACTTGTTGGGCCAAAAAGGTCTGGGCGTTAGGAGGTTAATAATATTAAAATTCGTTAGAACGGGCTCACTAAACTATTATCATAATTATACTCTGTTACTTTGGTCATCGCTACCGCTTCGATTAAACAGCGTCGCCTTAACATCTAAGGCGGTGTTATCAGTTAATCTCGAATGTCCCGCGTGTTATAAATTTGACATTTTACTGCTCCGCCATTGTTATCCTCATTAACCTTTTGTCTCATTAGAACATTAATACAGAGTAACTTTTCACCCATATGAAATGTTTAATCAAGTTTCGTTTCTAGTGGGATTTTACTATACATTATCGAACGATCACATTTAACTGTCAACGTATATAAAATGACATTGGTAAGTTTTTTTACATTCTTTATAATTTTAATATTGGTGGGAGAGTTGTTGTTTATAGAATTATTAGAATATAATTATTTATTTTGTATTAACTATGTCGCAAAGTCATGATTTTTAAAACAACGTCAATTAATGCTATTTGTAATTAATATAAACAATAATCATTTACTACAACATTAAAAAAACACACTGACGTCAGTTACCAAGCTGGACTGCCATGCAAAGGTTTCGATTCCTGGGCCGGGAGAAATATTTGCATGGCCTAAATTTATTTCTCTTGTGAGTTTGGGTTCAATTTGTGGTTGTCTGTATGTGTGTCCATGACGTGTTTAAAAAAAATTAATACAAAATGTTTTCAAAATACGATTTCTAATATGTACTTACCTATGTACTTTAAAAATAAATTCAAAGAGATACAACACAAATATCAACATGCAGAAACCGTAAATGCAAATTAGTACGTAAGCTAAGAGTAGTTATCAAAATAACTACTTATGGTAACTGGAATAAAACAATTTATTGTACACTCCTACTTAAGGTAAGCATGAATTGATAAGTGGACACACTGGTAATTTTTAATCTATGCTTTCGTCGTCGTTATTTTTGGTTAATCTCGATGACAGCTCCGATTAGATACCTTTTTTAAACTTTAAAATTTTTTAAGGATAGGGTTTCATAAAGACTCCAGCCAATCTGTGTTGAACTCTTTACGACCTTAATGTCACGACATTAAGTTCCATGACATTGTTGAGTAAAATCCTAACTTTATTGTTACTTCTTTAATAATATTTTACGATTATCCGTATTGAGCTTTGTAATTGATATTGAAGCATAATGCGGTCTCATGTTTGTCCTTTATCCTCAAAGGTTTAAGTTGTTTTTACTCGACTTCGACGAGGATAGGTATCGATATCAACAATCAATCTATGAACAATCTTGATGTTCCGTAGCGAATAGTAGTAGCAGAAGAGCTTCTCGTGAAAGAGTCCAGGTAAGCACTGCTACCTCACCTATTTGATAACGTAGATATTACTGCGTTTCGGTTTTGAAGGGTAATAGTACCGGTGAATTACAGGTGCATGGGACTTGTTAATTTATGTCTCAGGGTTACGGGTGCAGTGGCAGTGCCTTCAAGTTTGCGATTTAAACTCTGAATGGCATTGGAACTTATTATGAATAGGCGTGTTGCTTACCGTCAAGTTCGTGACTTATCTATCCCGTCACTTGATAATCATAACAAAGGATTTATTTTCTTAAAATTCCGTACAGGGAACCTGCAATGTACATCATACCTTATTGCAGGTACCGTAAGTTCGCAGTGGTAGTGCCCCTTAGATCTTTGCGATTTAAAACTCTGAGTAGCACTGCAACTATCAAATTCAAAATTCAAAACTGTCCTGGACAGGCGTGTCGTTTACCACCAGGCGTACGACTTGTTCGTCCCGTCACTTGGTATAATTAAGAAAAAAATAAGTTATAAAATTTCACATATTATATATAATTTTTTTACGTAGTCCTTATTATTTTTAGGACTGTCATTTGATAAAAGCACTTTTGACGTAATGTCGTTGTTTTGTAGAACGGACGTAAGCGACATTTCGTAGATTTATCAGAGGAGCATGTCTGTAATTAAGTTTTAAAAGTCAAATTTCAACAATGGCTGAAGGTTGAAGAACAAGGACAACGATATGAAATTGCTATCATAGCCGTGAAAACTACGAAACTAAAAATGTCGCATTTTTTTAGTTTCTGTTTTTACATATTTTACATTACTTTAGTTATTATTTCTAATTAACTCTCTTGTATTGAACTGTGTTAAAAATATTGTTATTACCTTTTTCCAACAATTACATTACATATAGTATAAATTTGTTTGTTTTTGTTATTCCTTTTGATCTCGTTTGTCGCGCCCAATTTTCACGTTGATAAAATTACTGTGCAGAACTGTCAAAATGTTTTAAAATCAGCAGTAACCTTGCAGCCATGTTTGGCACCGTGTTAATCTTTTGTAGTCATTGGTCACGGCGCTGGCGATGATAAAAATGATAAATATGATGTCACGGTGCTGGCCACGTTAGCTATTTTGTTAAAATTTTGAAATGCCGGTTTATCACCCGAATTTGAAAACTAAATGTGGATTTAATAGCTATATCTAGGTGGCATACTACGGGGGTAGGACGAGAATATTTTAAAACAGTTATTAAAACCTAAAACATGCTTCCGTGAAAAATCTACGAAACGTCGCTTACACCCTTTCCACCAAACCCCCACACGTGACTTTATTATAACAAACAAGGGTACGCATTTATTCCGACATCCTACCTTAATACTCAGCACAATCTAAAATAGGCTTTTCAGTACTCTTTCCCAGACTCATCAAACTACCTACTAAATGGCGGTCTGTCTGTCAGTGCTTCTGTCCTGCCAGATAATATGCAACAAATTGGCACTATTGCCACGCGTAGGCATTTAACTGAAAAGCCACGTCGATAACGAAATACGGTACAAGTTATGTGATGTAGCGGTAACTTTAGGTCTAACCAAGCCTCTACCATGAGATTACAGAGACCATTTTCGCTAGCGCCCGCGTAAAATGTTTGTATACAAAATGTAGTTTAAAATGTAGTTTCTTCTTGTGATCGCTTATGGGCGCTGTCTGTCTGTCTGTAAACTGTCATAGTAAACTCGTGGTAGAGGCACTGAACCACATAAGTCAAAATTTAAAAAGGATTGATCAACCCGTTATGCAAATGGAAGAAATTATATCAGGCAGTACAGTTACATTTCTCTGAGGTGTTACATTATCGAGGCTGTTCCAGCAGCCCAATGCGGGTGTTATATATAAATGTCTTATATCTTATATGGCTTTCTTCTTAACGAAATCCGTTTTTTTGTTTTCTTGAAGATTTGTTGACAAATGTTACAATTTATAATACCAAATCGCTGTTATTACGGTGATTCTATAGATGGACTGTATTCTTAAGATGATAGGACCAAACGGAAAATAGCAATGTTTTCGTTCGCGAATAGCCATAAGCTCACCATTCTTTAAAGGAGATGCTCTGCACTTATACACTATTGTTTGGAACTACAAAGTGTCCATCGTCACTATTAGTAATAAGCAAACACCAAAAAGACACAAATAGTCAAAATAAAAATGACAATGTAAGGGATTTCCTTTGTCGCGGAAATGCACGCAGAAAGATCATCCAGCCAGTCAAGCATGCAGTCGCGACGTACTGACGTGCAGCTTCTCGAATGGATAGTACAAAAAATGCAAGTGAAATTATATCCATCGATCTGGCGACGTATTACAAAACTATCCACATTTTATAACGCAAAATAATGAAAGATTGTTTAGATAATTACGAATAATCTAAAAAGAAAGAA